CTTACTTGCGGACCGCCAAAGTGTGTACGATCTACATTAATTAGCCGAAGTCAAAAAAATTAAATGACAGGTAAAGTAAATTAATACGTTTTTAATTAATAAATTGGGTTTTGAAGGTTTAGGTTGCAGTAGACCGTTCAGATTACCTGGTTTTCAATTTTTGCCCAGTGCAAAAAAAAAGGTTGCTAATCACTTATTCTGAGAGTAGTCAAGAGAATCGTAAAATCGTTCTTTGACTGACGGTTCGCCCCTGTTTTGAATGTTCAGTCCCTCATTACTATATCTATGTTTCGTCATCAACAAAACTGAAACAACACCTGTCTATCTGCTAGCCCCATGATTTGGTGGGAATAGCAATGCAATTGTAAGACTGACAGAGCGTAATAGTAGGGAGGAAATACTATACATGTATCATGGAAGGTTGCAAGATTTTCATTAAACACGTTCGATGTGGTGTGAATCGTGTGATCGACTGGTCCCGTGTGTGGTTTCATACTCCTTGTTAGTAAAATTAATAGTCAGTTATTCCGGATGGTGATCCACTGGTCATGATCATGAGACTGCGGATGTTTATGTAAATTCACGTATTTATAACCACATTTCTAAAAATGCGAATTCTGTGGAAAATGATTTATTCCTTTAACGATTTTATTAAAAGCAAAACAAAATAGAGCCTTCATAAACTTTTGGTATAGGATCCATTTTATTATGTTTTCATCCATTTGTATATGTGATAAAAAAAGTGTAAAATAAAATCTTTTAGAAAACCCAGAAGGGAGCCCCTTAAAGTATGTCGAAAATGTGGAATACAATTTTATGTATGGTGATTCATTTTCGAGATAATCGAATTTGAAAATTCGTCTAGTACTCATGCCATTGGAATATAATTCTGCATGTGTGTTTAGCAATTAATTATTGTTTCTACCAATGTACAAATTTATAAATATTAAGAATCGTACGGTATTATTTTTCCACGGTAATTTAAGACAAATTGAGAGTGTGGTAATCATAAAATTGATGAAAAACAGATAATAATGTAACACCGACGGTTATCACTGTAAGTAGAAATATTCACTTATGATCAGATACAATTAACCAGTCGTACGTACTCCAACGCACGCATACGAGACAAATTTTCAAACGCAAATACCTCGGAAACAAAGCTTCATGCAAAAAAAATTATTCTACATTTTCGACTTGTTTTTAGACGTAGAATAACATCATTTTCTTATATTATCCCCCCTTCGCTTGTATCATAAACAATCGAGGATGAAAATTAATTGTTCACGTTCAAAGTATCATTCTTCGATGACCATAAGGATCGTTTTTACACCTCGGGACGACTCTTCCTCAAATTTTGGATAACGCAGTAAAAGTTTTATAAAAATGAGTATACTGTGAGTAAATAGAAACATTATGCACGATATCAAAATTTAAAAACAAGTAAATGTAACAGAGAAGATATTTAACAAGAGAAATTTAATAGAAACTGAAAACCTTTATTCCACTGATTCTTTTCTCTCGGTTTTGTAACATCAACTAAGGTAGAAATAACGGTACAACTAAAAAAGAATTAATTATTCATATAAAAGTAGGCCAAAAATATATAAGATGATCAAACTTTTCTTACAGGGATACATTCTTGGTAAAATTATCCTCGAAATTGCATGTAATACAGGTGCTACTAAATAAAACTTGGCTAACACGTTAGCCAATTTTTAATTACTATTCTTAATTACTCTACGTTAAAGTATTGGAGAGAACAAGTAATTCCACACAACTGTTCATGTTCAGAAATACTGGTACAAGTAGAAGTAGTAAGTACTACACAGAATTGAACCCAAATTGTACACGACACACGTATTTTTTATGAACATTGAAAGTTAATTCTTTCAGAAATGATGCAAATAGTGCAATAAATATTCAGAGACTTTCACAAGAAAATTATAATCACGTCAAAAGTCGACTTCGTTTGGTTATGTACCAATTCCTACATCATCTTCCATAATTATACACTGAACATAGTATCGAGGTAAACCATGTCACAGAACAAAATATAAGTCATTCCTTACAAGTGCAAAAAACGACAAGTATAGACCACGAAACAATAGAAGAAGGAAAGGTTCAAACTTCAAAGTGCAGTAACCAGTGAAATTGTCAACGCTTAATGAAAACATACTCTGGAAAGGTTTCAACCCTATTAACTGCTAATATCAAGTACTACTTCAGAATGAAGGTATTGAATACATATTTGCTGGTATACTTCATGACGACGATCATATTCATTTTTTCCCAAACGTATCTACGCATAGAAATTATAATTAAGAATTTTTCAACACATCGTACTCTCCCATTCGGAAGTATTACAAGACTCATTGAATATGAAATAAGTGTAATAATTAGATTGTGGGTGTTTATGCAAATTTACAACTTTGAACAATAATTTCTAAACATGAAAATAAGATAGAAATTCATTTCCTGTACTAGATGTCTAATTATGTTGGTAATAATATATAAGTATCATTAAATTTTATTATGGTCTTTATTTTACTATATTTTGTCAATCTAGTAATGATTCATTACGAAATTACTGAAGGTCTGAAATAAGCATCGTTTAGGAAACACTAACTCTCAATGGATATCACTTATGCTACTATAAACTAATAAAAGTGACCCAAAGATATAATTTTCCTGAAACACTTTTATGCATTTATAATACTTCTTAAGGGGATACACCATCTTGTAGTCCTAAAAATATAGATAAATTTAACATTTTTTTTTCTTAGGTAATTATTGAATAAAATATTGGGCTCCTTTTAAGAGATGTTAGGCATCGTGTAAAATTTGTTTTCATATATTAGTTATTATATCAAATTACAAGAGGGCGGAGCTATACAATTAAAACTATTCATCCGATTAACTTGAAATACGGAAACATTATCTCTTATAAAATTATCTACAATGTATCATACGATTTTTTGATATTTTAAATTGCTGAATTTTTATGAATTATCAAAGTTCAATGTTTTTCAATGAAAAAATTTGTTTCCTTTATAAAGTTGTCATTTCTGTCTTGTTTCAAATTGTTTAAAAACCGAACGCTACATTACAGATAATTTTATGAGAAATAATGTGTCTCAATCGAATATTAGATGAATAGTTTTGGAGAACTGCTGGATGCCAGCTGACAAGAACCTCCCAGATTAGACGGTCGACAAGGTTATATAACTACACCATTTTGAAATTTTAAATAATAACTATAGTATGAAAATAAAATTAAAGCGTTGCTTAACCCTGTACATGAAGTATAATTTTATTAATATTCTGATTTGACTGCCAAATTAATACAAACTCAATGCAGAGATATAGAATACATGTTACATAGCGTACATATAATATATATACGTGAATTTCATATATATTAAACTAATTAAATTAATTTTCGAAAGAACACAGACAAGTAATGTGAAAACACGTTTCAGTTTATAACGCAAACCACTAGTTTATTATTACTGTTATTATTATCATAAAACAGGCCAGTATATCCTGTATTTTATAGTACATGGGAAGTAATTATATGCATATAAAAATACAACACGGGCACTTATTACAACAAAAAAATAATACATATTGTAATCGGACAAAAATAGAGCAGTTGTTTTATTATGTAGGATAGATAACTCGCTGGAGATTATATATTATAGGTAAAATGTGTATAACCACTTCAGTATCTCGAATTATAAGAAGGTAATACTTTTGGTATTGATTCTCAATTTTTATATTAGTGATGTAGTATCTTCTCTTTCACTATCATCTATACAAGAAATACACATTATGTTTGCTTTAGAGTACTTCCAGCATACAAAATTCTTACATGCCTCGCATTCAATTGTTGAATAATTAGTGCTGTGTATTATTCGAATAATTTGAAATAAACATTCATCTTAGATCATTGAATGAATAAATTTTTTTTAGTCTTCGTGTAATAATGGACTTCGACTTCAATATCGTACGTTACAAATTCGCTTCTATGTTGAATAACAACTCCGAAATGATTTAATCAAAATCCCGAATTTGTTTTTCATATTCTAATCTTCTTTTCCTATGTATCGTTAGTACATTATCTCCAGATAGAAAGAGAGAGGGAGAGAGAGAGGTGGGAATAGAAAACAACGATAGAATAGAATAATAAAACAACGAAATATGTAAATTCCGAATTTCTATATTGGTTCCAAGAATCGTTTAAATCAAATTCCTGCATCATCCTTCAGAAATACTAAAGTTGATATGATGCGATAATTCGCTATCGAGGAGAATGAACGGAATGATATCCCGAAACCAAACTACACAATAATAAAGTTACTAATTGCTTAGGTCACTACTTGTATAATTGATAAATAAATTAAGAACTCTTCTGGAAAGAGATTAAGAAGCTGTAAATGTTCTGTGACCGTATTATAAACCAATGTTAGAAACAACCGGCAATAGTACCACTCTGACATACTGCAGAATACGCAGCCTGATTACACTTTCGTTCACTTTAGATATGTGATATGATATAAAAATGTTCGTTGGAGGAATACATATGAGTGTTTTTTTTTGCTATAAACAGGCCTGCGTGTACTCAGTACACGTACGCGCCCACCAGGCCTACAAGACGATGGACCCCTTTAACTTGCAGAATTCAATACAACAAATGCTTTAATACAGTTTTATAACATTTTTCTGTTATAACTGACACAACAAATCATCCGATACACAAGATAAATTTCTGACTTCAATTTTTTTTATATCACTGTTTGAAACCGTGAATTTTCATAAGCATCCGCAATCCACTTACGAACAGCAGTGTACAATGACACGGATCGACATCAATCCACGCAGCATCGAACGTGTTGTACGGAACTAAATATAGGCCATAGGCGAATGTGCTTTCGCGACTACAATACGAGAGAGAGAAAAAAGATGAAGGTGAAAAACAACGTCAATGTGTATCTAACCTCCTCGCTGGTGGACTTGTCGTGCCGTTGACTCGGCGACGACGTCAGAAGATCCGGAAGGACGGAGCTTGGCCGCGAGCCAGGGGATGAATCGGACCTCTGGAAATCACCACCACCGCCACCGCCTCTCGGTCGATCGCCACTTTCTCGATTCTGGAAAGCAATTGTTCGATAATTAAAACGACCGTGCGAGACGGTGAATAAAAATCAAACGGACGTGGTGACAACATAAGATTTATCTGCCCAAGAACAAAGACCTGATCTCTTTTGAAGATTGTTATCTATTAAGATCTATCCTATAATCTAATATTTCTAACGGTACATTAAATGTACATTTCAGAAAATATTTTTTTTGTTAAATCAACTGTCCGCTCAGTTTGGTCATTTTTACCCTATTCGTTATGAGGTACAGAGCCGTACCGATGAACCTCACACTGTTGCTGAATTGGTAGCATAACCCAGAAGATGGTTTTTATTAGTAATTAGAAGTAGAAAATGTAAAATCAGTTTTTGTTTATATAAAACTTCATTTCTGCTTGAGTGAATATTAAAAATTAATTGCACAGGAGCCACATTTATTTCAAATGACTGTCCATTAATGATTATTTATACTTAGTTTAATATTTATAAACATGACCTGCAATACGGTGCTACTTGTATTTTAATATTAACTTGATATAAACTAATAGTTAGAATACAATCAGGTCGTTGGAATCGTCGAAGTTCAAAACTAGAAGTAGATGTAAACGATAGTGGCCAGTCACTGTAACATCCGTATTTGTATAAGTGGACGAGCAATCTTTTAAATTGATTTCGAAAGTAGTGGTTATATAATGTTATTCTATATTTTAACGCTTCTGTTCTCCTCGGGTCTATATGACCCGAAATGATGATTATATTTCAATACGTATTATGTTTTTAAATATTTGTATTCAGTATCCAGTGTAAGTAAATTTTACGTCTACTTTTTGTATATTTCCCATGTTTCAAAGACAAAAAACATTTCGAAGTTTGAAATGATTTTATTCGAAGTGTTACAAACTGAAAAGTATGTGAAGAAAACAGAAAGGTTAACACACTAGAAAACAAACCACGATGACGAGCTTTAAGATTATACGAAAACATGTTAACAGTACATAAGCTGTTACAAAGGGCAATTAAGTAGCAAATGAGTTTATTGAAAGAGCATTGTTTTTGCTGTTAAATGCAATAACATGTTTTTTAAATAAATATGGCGAATGTAACAGTGTCTACATGGAAAACTGCCAAATTTATGTGTTACTCAATTACGTACCAAACTGCGAATTTCCTTTCGAAGTTAAGAAAAATTTATCGTAAGAGGATGACAACAGAATGATAAGGAACATACATAACTAAGAACTGCATAAAAACTTTGACACTTAATTAGTGATTTAGAAGTATGTGTACGAATTTACAAGTCACTATGAATTATACTGTATTAATTTATAAATACTGCCATAAAACTATTCTTTCTGGGGAAAGCCATCCACTATTAATAGAAACTATGATGAATAGAAAAGTATATTTAAAGCTTCTTTTTCGGTACAATGGAATAATAATAAATCTAACAAAAATATTCTTAATCTGTATTAATGAGACGTCTAAGAGACTACACGCTATAATAACAAATACATAAAGTACAGGAAGATACATTTGAACCCCTGCTTATTAAAATAATGTTCTCTTCATTATCCTTATTACAAATAATAAATATACTTTAAATAAATTTAACAAAACAAAAATTCCAAATTATGCTATACAACTGAAATGTTTTTATCGTAGAATGTCTATTTTTGTAGAAAATTCTACACCATTATTAATAAAATGAATCCATGAACACAAATACTAATAACAACACGATCTATCGAATTAAAGAACGCAACTGCAGACTTATTGCACAATGACGTATAACACAACAAAATAGTCATACGAATAGGGTCATTTCCAGTGACATTGAGCGACCAGTTGATTTCATCTCAAAAAATGGATGACATAGAACAAACATTCAGTTAAATAATTCGATTTTTCATTTCACCTAGCTTAATTACTGATTCTGGTATTACTTATAGAGATTTAGGCCTTAAGAACAAAATGCAGATGAAATGTCAATCAAAACGATCCGGAGGGGAAAAAATTTGAAAAATCAAAAGAAGTACAACAGGGAACAAAAAGAATGGAGCTCGTGGGAATCGGAGATCAGAATAGCATCGGAAGACCAAGAACGCAAGCGGGGGAATGAATACAAACGCAAAATGGTAGACGGACGGTATATGGTGCAAGAAAGCAGTCGAGAGAATAAATTTACTGAACGAGATTCGTAAATGATCACGACCATTATTTCACAAACCTATGTGTCGACAGTAACGGCCTACGGATAAATTACGGACATAAATGATTCTCGCATACGCATAACGACAACAGGGGAAGAGCGAGAGAGCGAGAGAGCGAGAGAGCGAGAGAGCGAGAGAGCGAGAGAGAGAGAGAGAGAGAGAGAGAGAGAGAGAGAGAGAGAGAGAGAGAGAGAGAGAGAGACCACAAACGATTTAACACTTAAACACTTAAAGTATACAGTAACAGTGCAACACATAAAATTGAGATCATGCAAAATGTGCAGATGAATTAACAAAGATCGCTTCAAACATTCGTTTCGACCAGTCTACTGCGCGAAAACACAAAACGAGAACAATAACAATGTTTATCAAGAGTTCGTAATGGTTGCAGATTACAATCTATCCTTTAGCTTGATGGTCTACTTCTTAATATACTTACGAATAGTGGTAAACTGTGCGATACGGTGGAAATATCGATATTCTTACGTAAGTATCTATATAAACACACAGCTTTATAGCGACTACATGTACACATATATAATTCGTTTAACTACCGATGCATATCTTCGAACGCAATAACGCTCCCCTTAAAATTTATCACACATGTACGTATATATCACTTGGCTGAAAGACAACAAGTCAACCGAAGTTACTAACTCAAGACGATCAGAATATTAAACTGACAAGAACCGATTTTACACAGTGATACAAATAAACAAAAAAAGCACATTCACGTGGACTCGAAGCGCAAAGATAACTAAGAAATTACTCGACAGTTGAGATAGCGAAAACGACAGTCCATCACAACAGACATTGATCAAATAGTAGGTGCAATAACACGGTTCAACAAAGTGTTTAATAACGGAATGAAACTGGTTTTATTCACTTGATTGTGACTTGCTGGATACAGTAGTAATCCCACATTCGACTCTATCGTAAGGATTTTTTTTAATTTAAATGTAAATATGGTATAGAGGGTGTCGTGTAACTGCTGATATAATCGGGTAGGAGGTAATTCTACGTGAAAAAGTAAATCGAAAATATACAACAAATTTTTTTTATTCGAGACTTCGTTTTCGATAGAATCGACTTTGAAAATTAATCTGAAACGTATGTATTGGTCCATGGTAGTAAGCAGTGAACTGATGCGCTAGCCAAGGTCTATTCAATTGCACGCGTATCCAGAAAATTTTCAAAGTTAATTATTACGAAAACGACGTTTCACATGACAAAAGTTTCTTCTACGTTTTTGACTAAAGTCGTGTTAACCCCTTAAGTGGAAATGGCCAAACTCGACTTTGACGGGTGATGCCCGCCGCATATTTAAATGTTTAAAAACCATATAAATTTCTTCTAACTTATAAAAAAAAAATTATGATATTTACACATTCTTTTACCTTCTTTTCTATCTAAAATTGTCTCAGTGTAGATAACAATAAATTAAATTGTCTGGACACGCACATTTCTTTCAAAATAAATCGTAAGGCAAGGGTTTAACTGCGCGAAACCGGCAAAACTCGGGACCACATACGCGTAGTAAGCGTGCACGGTCATCATTGCAACGCCTTGTAAATTTCGAGCAGAGCCTCGACAGCTCGCCTTAGTAAATAAAATATAAAGCAGCGACGATCGGACTAAAGGACAGTGACAGTCAAGGCAGTCGAAAGTTGAATTAGTGTTGTCTCAATGACACACCGGCGTTTACTATTTTTTAAGACTCCCTTCGTTCAGCCATCAACTCGTGAAAGGGAAGTCGCCGGCGTATTAAATTACACGCTTGACTGATTCCAGGGAGTCAAACGTTAACTACGTTAACTGTCCCCAATGGTGGGGATGATGCGTGGATAGTTACAGTAGAGGCCTTTCCGCGCAGTTAAAACAACTTAAAAGAAATAAAGTCAGAAAAATTGTACTAGGTGAATAGTTTAAGAAAAAAGTAGAACTGTACAGCGAAACTTTATATCTATAACGCTTGACTTTGTGACGTGTAGGGGAAAAACTAAAACCAGCATCGTGTTCAACAACCTTTAATTAACACAAAAGTCCAATTCAGTTCCATCATTTTGAGACCTGTTGAACAGTGTCATTATTCCATGTCATTGCTCGCGGCAAATATTTTTCAAGCGATCATTCATCAATTTTCCACGAGCAATGTTTCCAAAATTACTAAGGTACACAAGCGCAGCCGAAGAATAATACATTTTCATAGAAATCTCGCGAGAAATTTACTACTTCAAGCGTCAGCTTCTGCATCACACAATGATTCTAGGAATTTTTTTACAAAAAAAAACAGAAAATAGAACAAACTGGCGATTCGCACCGTGGCCTGCAAACACACAAATTAGAAAAGCATGCTTCTGGTACATGCTGCGGCATGGCAAACACAATTACATACATGAGACACACATGGTGTTGTACACACGCTAAACGGCGTCATGCAAAAAAAGAAAACACGTTGATCTCGAAACACAATTATATATAACACGGTCTCGTGACGTGAAGTCCAACACGAGTTATTTGCTTTGGTGCATGTATTTCGCATATACACGTTACATATACATACACAGTATATAAATATGAATACGGATGGATATTTATATTTATATAACAGTTTCCCGTTTTCCTCTCAACATCGCTCATTTCTCGACGGTTATCGTGTGGGTTCTATCGTAGCACTTCGTTCTCTTTCCGATACTCTATCGTCCCTGCCGAGCATTGTCCATTTAAATTTTTTTTTATTTTTATTTTTTCAATTCCTTTTTTTTGTGGGCACGATTATTTCTCCGGTCAAACGCGTTCTTC